CACATAGGCTCAAAATAAAGGGATGGAGGAATATTTACCAAGCAAATGTAAAGCAAAAACAAAACAAAACAAAAAAACAAAAAGCAGGGATTGCCATCCTAGTCTCTGATAACACAGACTTGAAACCAACAAAGATCAAAAAAGACAAAGAAGGGCATTACATAATGGCAAAGGGATCAATGCAACAAGAAGAGCTAACTACCCTAAATATATACGCACCCAGTATATGAGCACCCAGATTCATAAAGCAAGTTCTTAGAGACCTACAAAGAGACTTAGACTCTCACACAATAATAGTGGGAGACTTTAATACCCCACTGTCAATATTAAACAGATCAATGAAACAGAAAATTAACAAGGATATTCAGGACTTAAACTCAGTTCTGGAACAAGTGGACCTAATAGACATCTACAGAACTCTCTACCCCAAATCAACAGAACATACATTCTTCTTAGCACTACACTGCACTTATTCTAAAATTGACCACATAATTGGAAGTAAAACACTCCTCAGCAAATGTAAAAGAATGGAAATCATAACAAACAGTCTCTCACACCACAGTGCAATCAAATTAGAATTCAGGATTAAGAAACTCACTCAAAACCACACAACTGCATGGAAACTAAACAACCTGCTCCTGAATAGCTACTGGGTAAATAATGAAATTAAGTTAGAAATAAATAACTTCTTTGAAACCAATGAGAACAAAGACACAATGTACCAGAATCTCTGGGACACAGCTAAAGCAGTGTTTAGAGGGAAATTTACAGCACTAAATGCCCACAAGAGAAAGTGGGAAAGATCTAAAACTGACACCCTAACATCACAATTAAAAGAACAAGAGAAGCAAGAGCAAACAAATTCAAAAGCTAGCAGAAGGCAAGAAATAACTAAGATCAGAGCAGAACTGAATGAGATAGAGACATTAAAAAAACCCTTCAAAAAAATCAATGAATCCAGGATCTGGTCTTTTTCGAAAGGTTAACAAAATAGACCACTAGCCAGACTAATAAAGAAGTAAAGAGACAAGAATCAAATAGACACAATAAAAAATGATAAAGGGGATATCACCACTGATCCTACAGAAATACAAATTACCATCAGAGAATACTATACACACCTCTACGCAAATAAACTAGAAAATCTAGAAGAAATGGATAAATTCCTGGACACATACACCCTCCCATGACTAAACCAGGAAGAAGTCAAATCCCTGAATAGAACAATAACAAGTTCTGAAATTGAGACAGCAATGAATATACTACCAACCAAAAAAAGCCCAGGACCAGACAGATTCACAGCAGAATTCTACCAGAGGTAGAAAGAGGAGATGGTACCATTCCTTCTGAAACTATTCCAAACAACAGAAAAAGAGGGACTCCTCCCTAACTCATTTTATGAGGCCAGCATCATCCTGATACCAAAACCTGGCAGAGATACATCAAAAAAAGAAAATTTCAGGTCAATATCCCTGATGAACATCTATGCGAAAATCCTCAATAAAATACTGGCAAACCGAATCTGGCAGCACATCAAAAAGCTTATCCACCATGATCAAGTCAGCTTCATTCCTGGGATGCAGGGCTGATTCAAAATATGCAAATCAATAAACATAATCCATCACATAAACAGAACCAATGACATTAACCACATGATTATCTCAATAGATGCAGAAAAGGCCTTCAATAAAATTCAACACCCCTTCATGCTAAAAACTCTCAATAAACTAGGCATTCATGGAATGTATCTCAAAATAATAAGAGCTATTTACGACAAACCCACAGCCAATATCATACTGAATGAGCAAAAGCTAGAAGCACCAGGCACAGTGGCTCATGCCTGTAATCCCAGCATTTTGGGAGGCCAAGGAGGTCGGATCACAAGGTTAGGAGATTGAGACCATCCTGGCTAACATGGTGAAACCCCGTCTCTACTAAAAATACACAAAAAAATTAGCCGGGCTTGGTGGCATGCACCTGTAATCCCAGCTACTCAAGAGGCTGAGGCAGAAGAATCGCTTGAACCTGGGAGGCAGAGGTTGCAATGAGCCGAGATTGCACCACTGCACTCCAGCTTGGGTGACAGAGCGAGACTCCGTCTCAAAAATAAAAAAAATAAACTGGAAACATTCCCTTTGAAAACCCACACAAGACAAGGATGCCCTCTCTCACCACTCCTATTCAACATAGTATTGGAAGTTCTGGCCAGGGCAATCAGGCAAGAGAAAGAAAAAAAGGTACTCAAATAGGAAGAGAGGAAGTTAAATTGTCTGTGTTTGCAGATGACACGATTGTATATTTAGAAAACCCCATCATCTCAGCCTAAAATCTCCTTAAGCTGATAAGCAACTTCAGCAAAGTCTCAGGATACAAAATCACTGTGCAAAAATCACAAGCATTCCTATACAACAATAATAGACCAACAGAGAGCCAAATAATGAGTGAATGCCCATTCACAATTGCTACAAAGAGAATTAAATACCTAGGAATACAACTTACAAGGGATATGAGGGACCTCTTCAAGGAGAACTACAAACCACTGCTCAAGGAAATAAGAAAGAACACAAACAAATGGAAAAACATTCCATGCTCATGGATAGGTAGAATCAATATCATGAAAATGGTATACTGCCCAAAGTAATTTATAGATTCAATGCTATCCCCACCAAGCTACCATTGACTTTCTTCACAGAATTAGGAAAAACTACTTCAAATTTCATATGGAACCAAAAAAGAGCCTGCATAGCCAAGACAATCCTAAGTATAAAGAACAAAGCTGGAGGCATCACGGTACCTGACTGCAAACTATACTACAAGGCTACAGTAACCAAAACAGCATGCTACTGGTACCTAAACAGATATGTAGACCAATGGAACAAAACAGAGGCCTCAGAAATAACACCACACATCTACAACCATCTGATCTTTAACAAACCTGACAAGAACAAGCAATGGGGAAAGGATTCCCTATTGAATAAATGATGTTGGAAAAACTGGCTAGCCATATGCAGAAAACTGAAACTGGACCCCTTCCTTACAGCTTATACGAAAATTAACTCAAGATGGATTAAAGACTTAAACATAAGAACTAAAACCATAAAAACCCTAGAAGAAAACCTAGGCAATACCATTCAGGACATAGGCATGGGCAAAGACTTCATGACTAAAACACTAAAAGCAATGGCAACAAAAGCCAAAATCCACAAATGGAATCTAATTAAACTAAAGAGCTTCTGCACAGCAAAAGAAACTATCATTAAAGTGAACAGGCAGCCTACAGAATGGGAGAAAATTTTTGCAATTTATCCATCTGACAAAGGGCTAATATCCAGAATCTACAAGGAACTTCAACAAATTTACAAGAAAAAAACAACCCCATCAAAAAGTGGGCAAAGGATATGAACAGACACTTCTCAAAAGAAGACATTTATGTGACCAAGAAACATATGAAAGAAAGCTCATCATCACTGGTCATTAGAGAAATGCAAATCAAAATCACGATGAGATACCATCTCACACCAGTTAGAATGGCAGTCATTAAAAAGTCAGGAAACAACAGATGCTGGAGAGGATGTGGAAAAACAGGAACACTTTTACACTGTCAGTGGGAGTGCAAATTAGTTCAACCATTGTGGAAGACAGTGTGGCGATTCCTCAAGGATCTAGAACCAGAAATACCATTTGACTCAGCAATCCCATTACTGGGTATATACCCAAAGGATTATAAATCATTCTACTATAAAGACACATGCACACGTATGTTTATTGCAGCACTCTTCACAATAGCAAAGACTTGGAACCAACCCAAATGATAGGCTGGATAAAGAAAATGTGGCACTTATACACCATGGAATACAATGCAGCCATAAAAAAGGATTGATTTCATGTCATTTGCAGGGACACAGATGAAGCTGGAAGCCATCATTCTCAGCAAACTAACACAGGAAGAGAAAACCAAACACCTCATGTTCTCACGCGTAAGTGGGAGTTGAACAATGAGAACACATGCACACAGGAAGGGGAACATCACACACCGGGGCCTTTTTGGGGGGTGGAGGGGTAGGGGAGGGATAGAATGAGGAGAAATACCTAATATAGATGATGGGTTAGTGGGTGCAGCAAACCACCATGGCACGTGTATACCTATGTAACAAACCTGCATGTTCTGCACATGTATCCCAGAACTTAAAGTATAATAAAAAAAAAAGCTCTCTAGTTTCATACCATTATTCCTAAGTTCCATATCCTACCAAAGTAGTTTATCTCAATAAGCTTGGTTTCAAAGAAAAACTAAAAACCTCTCTATCAAAATATGAATATTAAGAATGATCTGAATATTCATCATGATACCTGAAGCTGCTCCACAGCAAGGAGGGGGGAGGCTAAGAAAACACCACCTCGGCAGATAAGTTAACATTTACCAAATGCCTAATGGATGCACAGCCGCTTATTGATGAATGTCAGCTTCAGCATCTTAGAGAGAGAGCGTCACATTTCTTTTTTCCTAGAAGAATCTCTTTACATATTTCATGCTTTTGGAGAGGCAGGTATGTCTCCATGATAATATATATGTAATTAGCTACTTTATGTTACCAATATATCATGGAGACATTCGGATTTACATTATACACAAGCTCACTATTAGTTTCCTGAGTTAGATGGTACGGATTCTGATATAGCTAGTAAAAAACCCATAAAATATGCATAAATCCTGCCTAATGACTGAAGTTAAATACACCTCAAAGAATGTTCTATCATTAAAATTCACATACATTTTTCTTACAAGGGAGTTATTCTGCATTGTAGCATGTGTTTTATTACAAACTTGGAGTTCATTGATGAACCATGATAGAGCTGCAAATCAAGTCAGCGGCTTCATTAGCTCAGCAGGATTTTAGGCTACATTTCTCCCTTGGTGAGCAGAAGCCAGAGGGTAGTTTAGGGCCAGGAGCTTGGTTCCTGGGCTCTGGGCAGTCTCTCCCATGGAGAGGGCCCCTTACCTGAGGCCCTCGCCCTCAGAAGAGTGCTGTCTGCAGTACTCCAGAGTGTAGGTCTCCGTGGCCTCTGGGGTGGTGGGCCGCCATCGGATAGTCGCTGTGTTCCAACACACGGTACAGTCCTCAGCGCGGATCACAGGGGTGGAGGGTGCTGCAGAAAGAGAGTCAGGACAGTCGTGGAGCAATGCCAGCTTGCTTTCCTGGGATCTGAGAAGCACGTGGTCTTCCATGGCTTCAGCATGATTCTGTTTTTAATTTTTTTTTATCAGAAAATGAATTCTGTTTTAAAAACCCAAAAGGGATCAAATATAGATGGTGAAGTCTCTCTCCCTTCTCTGCCTTCCACATTGCCCAGTTCTCACCCATCCCCAAACAGCCCCTAATAGTAGCTTCCTATAAATCCCACCAGACTTTCTTTATACATATACAAGCAAATCAAAATAAAGATTCTTTCCCCTGTCCCAGTACAAACAAGTTAGCGACGATCTTGTCCTCAGTAAGCGCTCAGTAAAGGCTTGTTTTAAAAGGCAAGAGGAAAGGATAAAGGGTAGGAGTAAACCATCTCTTCCCCTGAGGCAGGTTGCCATTATCTTAAAGGCAGTGCAGCCTTGGTTTAGGCTTCATACCCTGTGAAAAGATTTCATCCTGAGAATGCATTTACAGTTAAATACCACTGCTTAAAACCTTTTGGGGGTTCCCAGCACCCACACACAGCCCAAGCTTCTTACTTTGCAAACATGGCCTCTCTATGTTAGCCTTTCTCATCTTGTCTTTCCTTTGCTTAAGTCTAAGAAATAATACTAAACTTCTTAGAGTGTCCTGCACACTCCATACTGTTTCTCGCCTTGATGCCTCTGCTCATGTCTTTTTCAAGTGGAATATCCTTCTTTAACGCATTACTTCTTATTGATCCTTTAAAGCATTTTCTGCAGGCATCAGTTCTAGGAAGCAGTTCTGATCTTGCCCCTGCCCCAGGCCAACTTGAGTGCGCCTCTGGAGTGCTCTCATAATAACCTGTGTATATCTGGATATGGCCCTTACCACACATTTTCTATGATCTTCTGTTTTTCCATCTCCCCACCTGAGCATGAGCTTCTTGAGAACAGGACCCCAGTCTTATTCATCATTGTATAACCAGCACTTGGCACAACACTCAACACACAATAGGTGCTTAATAAACACTTACTGGCTGATCTCAAGAGTCCGTGAAGAATTGAGCTTTGTCTTCTGACACCCTTAGCATCCATAAGTGTTAACACTTATGCTAGCATCCTTAGCATCCATCTCCTTACCTGTCCTAAAGATTGCCCTTTCACTGGGCAGGCTACATCCAGTGAAGTTCACAGCCATCACCCACACTTGATAGCATCGGTCAGGTTCCAGATCTTCAAAAATGCAGTAGCTTTCTTTCACTGTCAGTCTGTATTCTTCTACCAACTCTAGCATAAGACACAATTAAAATCTAAGATGTCTTCCAAAGTTAATTAAAAGTTATAGTTATTGGAAAAAGTCATCTATGATTTTCTTTCAGTGGAAAACTCAAACTGATAACCTTACAGATACCATTATGTGAAAACCAGCTCCTTAGAATACATATGAAAGCAACAGCATTCTGAAAAGAGATACTTAGGATGACATAGTACTACTTGTTAACACTTATCAGAAAAGAAGAGCATATTAGTAAGATTCTGAGCTTCATATACCACAATTAAAGTAACTTATTTCAGTAGCGAATATTAAAATTACATAAAGTATATGTTAGCTTAAATCTCAGTAACACATTCTCAAGAAAAACTTAAGAATCACTGCCAATATTTCAGAAGAGTGTGTCCTAAAAAAAGGACAACTTCATGGTTTTTAAACATCTTTACAGATTAGTAAACTATTTTGGTATTCAGTATGACCTTCCAGGTTTCAAATCCTGGTTCCTTCTCATGAATTCCATAATTCTTTCCACTAGAGATTTCCACAATTTATAGAAATACTTAAATAACTTTGATAGGTCATAAGCTACTCTAAGAAGTAACTTTGTCCAATTAAGACATTTTTCTTCTAAAATTTTAAAAATTATTTTACTTTGAATATTTTAATAATAAATATTATTCAATATCATTCTGAACAAACCTACCAATTTGGGCCAATTTGATTATTCTTACTGAAATTTTATCTCCTTTAAAACATATGGTTTTCTGTGTAAATTTTGCCTATGGTAATTTCAGTTATCCCCCTCTTATTACTCTTGAATGTCACATCTTCAAAACTTTTCCACTTAAGAACCCAGACTGTTTCTTTAGAAGAAAATCGGGAGCTCTTCAACTTAGCAGGTCTCTCAACTGCCTTTCTCCTTTCCAATGAGCTGTACTTTCTGGACAGAAAGTTCAGTTTAAAGAACGTCATAAGGACTTGTACACTGAAGAATATTTCCCCCATAACCCAGAATCTGTGTCTGCGTTTTCACTGGAATCATTCTTTTAGGCAAGGTCCTATGATACGGTTTGGTTCTGTGTCCCCACCCAGATCTCATGTTGAATTGTAATTCCCAGTATTGGAGGAAGAGCCTGGTGGGAGGTGATTGAATCATGGGGGTGGACTTCTCCCTTGCTCTTCTCATAAATGAGTTCTCAAGAGATCTGGTTGTCTGAAAGTGTGTAGCACCTCCTGCTTTATTCTCTCTCTCTTCCCTGCCAGCCATGGGAAGATGTGCTTGTTTCCCCTTCACCTTCTGCCATGATTCTAAGTTTCCTAAGGCCTCCCCTGCCATGCTTCCTGTACACCTTGTGGAACTGTGAGCCAATTAAACCTCTTCTTCATAAATTGCCCAGTCCTAGGTATGTCTTTATAGCAGTGTGAGCATGAACTAATACATCCTATTACCCTAGCACTCCCTTTAACAATGCACATAACATATGTGACTAGAGACCCTACTAAACATGGCACGGTATCACAGACTAGATTATCAGATTAGCTAACTGTTATTAACACAGTTCAGGGCACAGAAACAATGAGACACAGGATAGGGAAGTGTTTGGAGTAGGGGTGGGGAGGAAACCCACTAAAAAAAAAAAGTACTCCAAGCAATAGCTATTTGATAAGAAGGGTCTCGGAGAGCCATGGTGTTTCAGAAAGCAGCTAGAAATAGATGGAGATGAAGTATGGTGTAAGAAAACACACACAGAGACAAACAAACGAAAGAATAAACTTCAGAGCTTGAAAGATGTGTGTTTGACCCCTGCCCCTGTTATGTACAAGTTACAAGGCCTTGAGCAAACTACTTAACCTCACATCAGTTTTCTCACTTGCAAACAGGGATAGTAACATTTACTTGGTTGTGCTGTAACAGGCGTGTGGAAATAGGTCAATAAAACACGAGTCATTACATTACAGATTTAGATTTAGCCAACTTTACAGCGTGCCTATAATTGCTTTTTTAAACTTTTTTCTAAATTAATTATCACATGACATTTCAAAAGACTTAAATATTAGTAATAGTACAATATATTACCATTCATTCCTGATTACAAATTGGGCACCTGAGTTAGGACGCCAAGCCTGCCACATGCTCATCTGGTTTCCATAGTATGTGGGTCTGTCTTCAACAAGCAACACAGAACGGCAGCACTCCCAGCTCTGATTCATCAGGAAGCACAACCTCAAACTGCCTGGCTTCCAGGGCTTATGAGAAGTCCTTCTGAGCCGAGAGATACTTACAGAGGCTCAACTATAAGACATACCATCCATTCACCCTACTAAGCACTTTCATTTCTATCCACACATTAACTGGGGACACAGGAAGACTCCACCATACCTAGGCCCATGCCTTGGGAACTGTGAACACTGAATGAACCTTGTGGCTTGTTGGTGGCTTTTAGCAAAGACAGACCTGAGAAACTGCCACCCATGACATCTCATGCTTCATCTGCATTCAGACCATTGTGGATCACACTGTCCTCTCTATGGCTTCTTCCCTAAAAGTGGAACACGTGACACTTGTCTTTCAGGCTTTTGTACCGATTAAAACTTTATTTTCCTTGAAACTCTGGTATGTTACCTCCTTTCTGAAAATGAGAACCACTTCATTGCGCCTGTTATTCTGAGAGCTCAAAGCCAAATGTGAATCTCAATTACAATATTCGTGTTGACTATAATAATATGTATGCCATTTTGTTTTCCTTGATCTCGATTCCCAAATTTTGCTTCTGTAGTTATTATTTCATTATACAGTTGTTGGGGTTTTGTTGTTGTTTTGTAAGCGGCTATAAATGCTTTGTGGGAAGAGTCACAATACAGGTATATGTTTAAATACTTCACATGAAGAAGCCTGAATATGCGTGTGCATTTGTATTTGTGTTAGCAATCCTACCATTTACTTCTTGGTCATCTTGTGGCTCCTCCATGCAGTAAACCTGAAATGAATCAATGACATCATCCTTGTTCATGCTCCAATAAACTGCAATCGTTGTGCTGGTGGCAGAATTTGGTTCCTGAGGTTCTAATCTAGGAGGCTGAGGAACTGGAATATAAACAAGATTTATTGTAACTAATGCTGTTTTTATTAATTTGTTGGGCAAACATTACTTATGCTTGTTGAAAAAAATTCAAACAATATAGAAATATATGGTATACAAGTAGAAGAGCTTCCTTGTTCCCCCGAACTCCCAACCCCAATTATATTTTTTCATTTTTTCATTTTTTTAATTTATTTATTTTTAAGACGGAGTCTCACTCTGTCATCCAGGCTGGAGTGCAGTGGCGCGATCTCAGCTCACCGCAACCTTTGCCTCCCAGCTTCAAGCGATTCTCCTGCCTCAGCCTCCCAAGTTGCTGGGATTACAGGTGCCCATCACCATGCCTGGCTAATTTTTGTATTTTTAGTAGAGACGGGGTTTTACCATCTTGGTTAGGATGGTCTCGAACTTCTGACCTCAGGTGAACTGCCCACCTCAGCCTCCCAAAGTGTTGGAATTACAGTCATGAGTCACTGCACCTGGCCAGTTTTCTTTTATTTTATTTTTTGAGATGGAGTCTTGCTCTATCACCCATGCCGGAGTGCGGTGGTGCAATCTCAGCTCACTGCGACCTCCGCCTCTCGGATTCAAGCAATTCTCCTGCCTCAGTCTCCTGAGTAGCTGGGATTACAGGCATGCACCATCATACCTGGCTAATTTTTGTATTTTTAGTAGAGGTGGGGTTTCACTATGTTGGTCAGGCTGTTCTTGAACTCCTGGCCTCAAGGATTCCACCCACCTCAGCCTCCCAAAGTGCTGGGATTACAGGCGTAAGCCACCGTGGCAGCCATATTCTTTAGATGTAATTACTGTTGCAGTTGAATGTGTGTCCCTCAGCAATGTTTCCTATGCTTTTGTACATGTGCATATATATGATACACACAGAAATAAACAAAAATGTATTACAAAATGGGATCACTTGAGAATACTCTTCTATAGTCCTATAGTTGGAGCAATAAACTCATGTAGGTTAGAGGAGGCAACAACTGACTTGCTTATCCTTCAAAACAAAACACATGCTTTGCTAGATGACCAAGGTTGTATCATTCTGTATCAATACAGATTCTATATTCACAACAGAGGCAAATGAAACCCTTTTAAGATATCGTTGGTATGTCTTCTAGCCTGAAAAATACTTGCAAAAATAAAATATCAAAATACACTTTCTGAAATGACCATCCCATTTTGTCTTTCCAATATGGCTACGCCTATCAATTTTTAAATTATTAACTTTTTAAAAATTAAACAAAATATAAAAACTATAGAAAAAGTAGCCTACTGATTCAGCGTACATTTTAGACATCTAGTATAACTCTGTTGTTCTGAATTTTACTGACAACAAAATCCTTGAATGTTTTCCTAGAAACTTGTAAAGTTCATGATTATGCATACAAACATTAATGGTATATGCAACGCCATAAATCAAGCTTCTATGCAATTCTCCCCCAAAACTTATGACACAAAATCTTTGAACATATTTTACAAATTAGAGAAAAAGATTATTCCCATAGTTGAAAAGATAGCATGCTTTTTTCTTTTTTTTTGAGGTGGAGTCTTGCTCTGTCGCCCAGGCTGGAGTACAGTGGTGCGATCTTGGCTCACTGCAACCTCCACCTCCCAGGTTCAAGCAATCCTCCTGCCCCAGCCTCCCTGGTAGCTGGGATTACAGGAGCCCACCACCACGCCCAGCTCATTTTTTTTTGTATTTTTAGTAGAGACAGGGTTTCACCGTGTTGGCCAGGCTGGTCTCGAACTCCTTGACCTCAGGTGATCCGCTCGCCTCGGCCTCCCAAAGTGCTGGGATTACAGGCATGAGCCGCTGCGCCCAGCCCAATAGCATGTTTTTACATTTATTTTTTGTGGTTATTTTTTTCCAGTCAACAATTTCCTGAGAGATAAGTTTACTGAAATATTAATAATACGGGCCAAATTTTATGAGATTACTAAAAGTGGACACCAAAGGAAAAGAAAACTAAAGGTCAGTTCAGCGAGAAGGTAAAAATGAGAAAAACATAAATGGTTCTAAAGAATGTAACAAAAAGAGACAAACTGGGAAGATGCAATAGCAATAAAGAGCTGAAGAAACACACAGTTGTGAAAAACGAGAAGCAGAAGGGGAGAAGGGTCAAGTTCATGGACTTCAGTGCAGAGTGGCTGGCCCAAGGTCAAACACCAGATCTGCCCCTGTGTTACCTTAGCCTCAGTTTCCCCATCTTTAAAATGAGAAAACATTTTAAAGCATTACTTCCCAGGAGCGTTATAAGAAGCAAATAATATCTATCAAGTGCTTAGCAAAGTGGCTGACAGGTAACCAGCGCTAACATTCAGAAAGCAAAGGGGCCTTCGCAGGAGCACAGGAAACAGAGGGGCGAGGCAGGAAGCTCCTGAAGATGAGGGCTGAACGAGGGACCCACCATCTGGAAAGCCACAGAGGCCACAGAGGTAAGACCTGTGGAGCAAACTGCATGCTGAGGCAGAGGTCGCTGGTGAGAGCGCCTCCCCAGGGACTGATCACAGGTCAGAGACCCTCATACTGTCTTGGAATTTATTGCTTGTCTTCCCAGCAGGAAATGGATGTCACATTCTAAATGAGTCTGTCCAGATCAATGTAGTTCAGTAAATTTTCATGCTCCCCAGGTCTATAAAAGGACCAAGTGGAATGTTTCAACGATTGTCGATCATCTTTGAAGCAATATTTCAGAATTACTTGAGGCGTGAACAATGAAAATGCTCCCCCTTTTACCCTATGAATTATACATGGAGCTGTATCTGCTTTTTAAAAATGAAAACATCTTTCACATTTCTCTCTCTCTTTCTCGGGTAAATTAACAAACTTAAAAACTGATTAATTGATCCAAGAAAATCACTTAATTTTAAAGAAAAAGCAAAGTACGTAAGTTAGAAATTTTGTTTTAATGTGCTCCTTCCCCCAAAAGCATTAAAGTTAAAACACCTTTTTTCAGAAACAGGAAATACTTTTACTTTTCAAATAATTCTAAAATGAAAAGGGAATAAGAATATTCCATAGATATAATCTAATAATAATGGCTGAATTTACAATTCTTATGTGGTAGAACAACATCAGAGACCCGGAGTTTAGCAACTATGTTTACACTTTCACAGTAATAAACTTGAGTAAGTGCGATGCCGGCCAGGCGCGGTGGCTCACGCCTGTTATCCCAGCACTTTGGGAGGCCGAGCAGGGCAGATCACTTGAGGTCAGAGGTAGAAGACCAACCTGGCCAATGGAGCAAAACCCCATGTCTACTAAAAATACAACAATTAGCTGGGCATGGTGATGCGTGCCTGTAATCCCAGGTACTGGGGAGGCTGAGGCATAAGAATGGCTTGAACCTGGGAGGCGGAGGTTGCAGTGAGCCGAGATGGTGCCACTGCACTTCAGCCTGGGCGACAGAGTGAGACTCTGTCTGAGAAAAAAAAAAAAGGTATGATACCAAAAAATATCAAAATGAAAGTTTAGGGCGTCATTATAAGAGGCTAAGGAATTGGGAAGAAGAATCACTCCTCTGCCTGATGAAATGTGCCCAAAAAGAGCCGCCACATTTGGGGAGTTAAGCATTAACCAAACTGGACTTCGGAATCTGTGGTCAGATACAGATTTCCACTCAACCTGGCCTTTGGAACGTCCTCAGGAGAACAGCATTATTCACAATAGCCAAAAAGTGGAAGCCACCCAAGTATTCACCAATGGATGAATAGATAATGTAAACGCTGTGTGTACATACAATGGAATATAAGTCAGCCTTAAAGAGGAGGAGAAGTTTCACACGTTACAACATAGTAAGCCTTGAGGATATTACTCTAAGCTAAAGCCGTCACAAAAAGAGAAATACCATATGATTCCACTTAGATGAGGTACTTAGAATAATCAAATTCACAGAAACAGAAAGTAAAATGGTGGCTGCCAGGAGCCAGGGGAAGGGGAGAATATGGAGAGTTAGTGTTTAATGGATATAGAGCTTCTGTTTTGCAAGATGAAGAGTTCTGGAGAGGATGGCAGTGATGGTTGTAACACAATGTGAATGTCCTTAATGCCACTAAACTGTACAATTGAAAATGGGCAAGATGGTAAATTTTAAGTTATGTGTATTTTACCGCAATTAAAAAAAAATCCCCAGGTGCCAGCATCCAGGAAGCCTAGATTTATGTTTGTTTATCCACTATCTGTTTCTCTCACCTTTCTCAGCAGCACTCTGCCTTTTCACTGTGGGGCAGACTCTGAAGCCAAACTCCCCTGCCACACACACCCCAACCGGTTGTGTTGTCTTGAAAATAGAACATTTTTCTATTCCTCTCTTTCCTCACCTTTCTTCACCTGTCAAATGGGAATAACAAAACCTACCTCCTTGGGTTGTGGTGAGATTAGATGATTTGATATGCTTAACGGTTTCCACAATGCCAGCCATTGTGTAAGCATGGAATAAATCGGATGGGCTGCTACTTCTCATTGGAAAACTCACATCCTTTTCTCATTACATCTGCTTAGTTTAGGTAGGGGGTCATCAGATCAACTTTTCAGGTAACAGGTGAGGACTTCCGAGAGGTGTCACAAAATGAACAAAAACTATTTAGCAGCAAGTCAACACCCTGGGCTCCAATTTTGTGAAACAGATGCACAAAGTAACATTTATGGCTCTGAGATCAGTCTCTCCATAAAAGGCTTCGAACCACAGAGACTGCCACTTGTACTTGCTGAGTTAATTGTTAACACTTTGTGACATTTTAACTCTGTGACTTCTAAAGTATATTAAATGTCCTCTCAATGCCCATTAAGTATTGAAAAGCATATCCTCCTAAATGAACAATGGCATATAATGAATCCCTTAAAAGCAAAAGACCAGCTCTGTTAATCAAACTTTTTTAGTTTGCAATCACTGCCCTAGTCTGATCCCTCTTAAAGACATTACAAGAAAACACTTTGTTTTGAGACATTTCTAGAGAAAATCCATTAAGAGCAATGATCGAGTTTTTAATTTTATAAAGGGCTGGTGGAGTTTTGGGTTTTTGTGTGTTGTGTGGTGTTGTGTTGTTTCTGTCTTTTAGACATACAGTAGCCTTTTTAGTAGTTACTGAACTAAAACTCTTGATACAGGAATGAAAGTTAATCATCAATTTAAACACAACAGCCATCGTTTTTGTTTTTTGGGCTTTTTTTTTCTTTCTTTTTTTTTTTTTTTAGAAATGGGGATCTTACTATGTTGCCCAGGCTGGATTCGAACCCCTAGGCTCAAGTGATCCTCCCGCCTCAGCCTCCCGAATGGCTGTAATCTTTGAGGTGATTTTGGAAGACGATAGCATCTTTTAAGGAGGACATCTGAGCACGTTGTACAGTAAGAAAAACTTGGTAATTTCACTGAAACATGGCAGCTTTGAAAAATCTAAATAAGTTTCATTGTCCTGTTTGTTAAAATAGCACATTAAAAAATATTGTGAAGAGCTGGCAGGATGCTTCTGACAGCTGAGTGGGAGGCTCCTGGCTACAGATCATGGTGCTGAGCTGATAGTTCTCTAAGCTCATCTGTTTAGTTTGAAAAAAGGGGAAAAGAACTGAATTGAAAAGGGGAAAACCACTCATAAAGAGAAATCTGTTTGACACATAGAAAAACATTTGACTTCTTTTTCTTCTATACCTGGCTGCTGGTATGAGGCAAACAACTCTCAAGAAGAGAGGGAGAGAAATCCTATTTTTAAATTTAAAAAAAAAAAAAAAAAAAAAAGAGGAGACCCTTTGGTTCCATGGCTCCTTCCACCTCCTCAATCTCCAAGCAAGTCATAAAGCTTCAGATGGAAATGCACAGAAATGAGATGCTTGTCTCATGCTCAATTTCAGAGTCTAGCTGTAACATTTTACAACTAATACTTTTGTTTTTCCAGTTACATGTCTTTGCATGCAAAATCTTTTGTATATATCATTACATACAAAACAAACAAGCAAAAACTGCCATATTTCATCTAGGTAATTAATATATTAAAATGCTTACCAGCCACTTGTTTTAACATCTGGTCACTTCTTGCCGAGCTGTCATCATAATGTTCAAAAAGGGAAAACGCAGCAGGCATTTTCTCTAAAGAAGCAGTGCTCTCCATTGCAGAAAGCAACCTATCAGGGGAATAGAGCTCTACATAAGTCAAAAAATTATTAACATACGGAATGAAAGTGAAAAACAGTTGTTCAAAATGAAGCTGGTGTTGGTAGTGGTGGTTTGCATAAGGCAGGGCCTCTCACTCTATCCAAAAAAGGATTTAAAGCTTTAAAGTCTTGAAATATATGTCTAAAATCTATTCTTAGGCAACTGGTAATATTGGAAATTTCATTCCTATATCCTCTAGTTAGAAAAGATTCTATCAAGCAATACAGTCTTAAGTGTTTTACCTATAAAGTTGGTCCTAAAAATTACTTCATTTTAGTGATTATTTTCTTTATTTCCTAAAGAGAAAGGATTTATATCCAAAGCTTTTCATACCCACTGAGGTTTCAAAGGATAAAAATGCTAAGAGCATATCCAGAAACTTATACACTGTAGATGTCTTTGTCCTCAAACCTCAATATTAAGCTTCAAATCATTTTTTCATTCAAAACATGTTTACCTACTATGTCCCAGGCATTGTGCTAGGTACTGGGGAAAGAGCAATGAGAGAGGATAAAGCCTACCATTCATAAAAGACTAAACAAACCACAGTTTATAAATCAACAGCTTTATGGAACTCAACACCCTCATTAGTTGGAATGCCAACTGATGCTAAGTCTGAGTATTTGTATCCAGATGAAATGTGGATTTAAACAAACAGCGACAAAAAGGTTAACTCTGAAGGGGAAAGAGGAAACAGAGTTTGCAAAAGAATTTATTTTTAGCATGAGAGGCCTCCAAGTAGATTAGCAGCTCTCCTCTGTTCACCTCTCTCACACAGGACTGGAATTCTCTTCCAGCAACTCAGTCGGTTGCAAGGAACTGCGTCGGCTTCATTTCCATGGACGTCTTGGTTTTCCCAGCAGACCCACTGCACTTGCTGTTGGAACTTTGTTCTCCCAGACACTTGCTCAGCTCCTTCCTTGACTTAATTGAGATCTCTGTTCAAATGTCAGCTCCTCAGAGAGTACGCTACTAATACAGCCTTGCCTGCCCCCTTCATTCTTCGCTAGGCTTTGTTTTACTTCCCCAGACTTATCACAGCCTCTTCGGTTTTTGTCTGTCTGCTTCACCAGAATAGCATTTATAGGCGGGAAAGGACTTTGTTTTGTTCCCTACTGTATTCTAATGCATTACTTGGCACATAGTGGGCATTTAATAAGCATATTTTGAATAAATAAGAGGCCAATAGTTTTGTGTGGGCGAGGATATCAGGATCTCAGGGATGGTGGATTTATGGTCAGCATGAAGGAAAAATATTATAAAACAAAACTGAATATTTAGAGTGACTTCTACACTTACTACTGTCGGAAACAATAAAATTCACTATCATTTGATTTAGGGGAGGTGGTTCCAGAGGGGCTTCAAAGAGGAGGTAACATTTGGGCTGGGTCTTAATGAGTGGGAGTTTCCTAGGCAGAAGAGAGAATAAGTAAGAGCGTTGCAGACAGAAGAAGGGCATGAACCCAGGCATGGAGATGTGGCCAAGTACAGCACGTTCGAGGGCCAGAGGGCACCGTGGGAATTGAGAAACACAGACGGTTAGGGATGAAATAGCAAAGTGCTTTGTGGCTTGACTATGAAGAGCCTTTCATACCCACTGAGAGTTCAATTTTGTCTTTTAAGGCAGGGAGAGCCACAAAATTGTTATAAAAGGGAAATTTAGACGACTGTCTTGGCAAGTGTCTAAGGAAGGATCAGGGCAAGCAGAGGAGACAGGTCTGAGGTCAGGCGGGAGAACCCCACAGGGTCTAGATGAGGGAAGACAGCACCAGCCTAAATTAAGGCTGTGGAGATGGAGAGGGTGGAAATGATAGGCTCAGAATGAACAAAAATGGTGCCCCATACATGCACCAAGCCCTCTAAAAATACACATCACTGATGTGTATTAATGTAGGACATTTCGTAGCACAAAAGCTGATTGTAGGTACCACGAGCAAAATGTTCGAGTTTTCCCTTATGCACTGACCTATTCCAGTTTAACATCAGCATATGAAAAGGCAAGCAGACACCCTTTTAGAAGCAGGTCTTACAACAGTTGCAACTCCTTTTCATTATCATAACACAAAAGAGCAAAACGGAGAAAAAAATGAATCCCCTCAACAGAACAGCATTTTCTAAGTAAATGTGTTTTTCAAGATATGCAAATGTTGAGTCTAAATATGCTTGACAGCATTCCTTAATTTAAGCATTTTTAGTGTTGAGAAAAATCATTTAATATACAAGCACTGCCTTTAGAGATATAATGTGAAAGGCGGGAGAAAAAGTGGCAAGGTAAAATAAACTACAGCTGACTCTTGAGCAAGACAGGGTTTGGGGCACTGACTCTCTGCACAATTGAAAATCCATGTGTGCCGTCTGCCTCCCCAAAAACTTAACTACTAACAGCCTACTGTTGACTGGAAGCCTTATCAATAAGCCTTACCAATAACCTCAAGAGTTGATTAACACATATTTTGTATATGTATTATATACTATATTCTTAAAATCACATAAACTAGAGAAAAGAGTTCTTCAGAAAATCATAAGAGAAAATACACCTACAGTACTATACTGTATTTATTAATACCTTAAGTTTACATCATCTCTTTACAAGATGAAGCACCTGAAATGGAAGGCAAAGGTGGCCATAGACCTCAATCTACTGAAAAGATCAAACAATTCAACTTCTTCTTGTAATGTCATGACTTTTCTCTGTTTCCTGGGAAGACATCCATGATCACTAGTGCCACTTCCTATGGGTATCATGGTGTTATTCAAGGTTTATGGTATTGCACTGAATATGGTTAAAAAAATAGACAAGAACCTTAGGAGATCACTTTTTACTGCAATATGCAGTTTACTGGAGAGACTAACTGCTCATGGGGAGATGATTAGCGTGACACAGTGTTTTAAGCAGAGATTCACAACACTTGAGCTCATTACAAGAGCAACAGGAGGTGGTTACAAAGTTATTAAAGTAGTATGGTAGTAGTATAGCTGTAGAAATTATTTGAGTAGTACAGTATTACTACAGTTAATTTTATGCAGTTATGATTTAATACTGTATCTTTATGTTTGTTTACATTTTTTCCCAACTGCATATGGTGCTATGGACGGTGGTGTTCGTGTAAGTAAGTGTTGATGTTTTTAATTTTTATAATAGATTTGTGTATATTTTATGATAGTAAATGATAAATTAGACTAATATTTACATATATTTTATGTACTTGTGACACACCTAACATTTTCTTAATTTTTCAACATTTCTGGGCTATGCAGTTCATCTTTTAGTTTTTTTCAAATTGTCACACATCTCAAAAAAATTTTCCAATATATTTATTGAAAAAGATTCATATATAAGTGGACCTGCACAGTCCAAACTCGTGTTGTTCAAGGGCCAACTGTAGATAAGTAGCACTTCTTATCGAAAGGAACATCAATAACATCAAGACTTTGAGACAGAAGTTTTCTTGAGGACATGGAAACCTTTTTAGTGACGGGGTCCAGCTTCATCAAGTGTGTGCATGTGTACATGCACGTCTGACACTGCTTTCTTTAATTGTTCACCTTTCTTCACCAAATCCCAGAATTTTGTTGTCTTTTTTCTTTACAGAAAATAATGGTTCGCCCAAGTGTACTCTCCTTTAAGTGACAGGCAGCTTTAGCAAAAAATTAATTCACTGTCAACTGGACAATGAAATAGAAATTAATTAAAATGACACACAGATGAACACATTTAAGCACGAAGCCGAAGAAACAGTATTTACTATTAAGTGGATGTCAATTTATATTTGCAATATTCTGATGGTTAGAAAGGTAAACACATTCTATTGCATTTTTGCAACTTTTCACTCACCAAATTTTCTTACTGAGCAGTAACTTCTGTGAATAGATAAAATATAAGTAAGCAAATATGCATTTACACTGTCTGGTATAGATGGAATGGCACTGTAAATCCATGTACTTTTTGGATAAAAAGAAATGTCAATAATATTTAGAAAAAATATATAATTTTTTAAAAAATAAATGAAACTGGAGGTGGGCGGATCACTTGGCCTGAGGAGTTCAAGATCAGCCTGGGCAACATGAAAAAACCCCATCTGTACTAAAAATACAAAAAATTAGCAGGGCACGGTGGAGTACACCTGTGGTCCCAGCTACTCAGGAGGATGAGGCGGGAGAATTGCTTGAACCTGGGAGGTGGAGGTTGCAGTGAGCCAAGATCATGCCACTGCACTCCAGCCTGGGTGACAGAGCAAGACCCTGGCTCAAAAAAATATGGATGGATGGATAGATAGATAGATAGATAGATAGATAGATAGATAGAAAAGATAGATTGGAAACTCAGAATAAGGCCTGGGTATCAGTTTCCAGACCTGACTGGTGTGTCTTACACTCGTCTGTGGGAATTGGTAACAAGCAGATGCCTGGTCTCACTCTGGAAATTTTGACGTAGTGGATGTGGGGTGGGACCCAGGGATCTTTGGTTAAACAAATTGCACAGGTGATTTAGGCACAGCCAGTTTGGGGAACCATTGGGACAAAGGATAGATTGTATAAACCAGAACTTTCAACCCTGGCTGTGCATTAGAATCATCTCGGAAGCCTTAAAAATGCTCAGCTATACCCCAGAGCAGTTAAATCAGAATCTCAGAAGATTCAGGCATCAGCAATTTTAAAAGCTCCCTGTGGAATTCTATTCATAACAGAGCCACTGTTATAGAACACTTATTGATTAATGTCAATCCTAGTATACAAATTATTTTTTAAAACTAACTGGTAATATTCTGTTGAACAGAATTTGTTTTAGGTAAATAGGATTCATCTGTGTGATTTCAATTACCTAAAAAAATCATATTTCTAATCTAAATCCTTTTTTTATATTATAATACATTATAGATACAAATTTCTGATTTTATTCTATGCTGTATCACAATTTGAATTGGGATGGAAGTAAACTGAAGATGATATTTACAATTTAGAAATTTACATTTAAAATTACACTGAAAGGAGAAAACATTAGGCTCAAACCAGAAGGAAAGACCTCAGGTCTTGCTATGGGGCAGGAGGAAGAATGTGTCAGATCTGTCGGAGAATTTCAGTATGAGATGCTCCGAAAGATAAACATAAATCTGATGTTACATGTTTTTATAGACAACATGTTTTCTTGTTGAGTGTTTTGCTTTTGGAAAGAATGAAGAATTCTCTTAGATGAAGTGTTAAATACAACAACAAAACAAAACACAATCAAAAGAGGGAGATTCATTTACGTTAGCTGAGCGGAAAGAGAAGAGAAATGCATGACTGTCTTTTGAAGAGAAAATGATAGAACAGTCCATTAAAATTACATAAATCATAAAATTACTCAAGGCAGATATGAATGATTCTTTCAAATACTCATATTTAACCAATGCATCTAAGTATCTGCAAAATGTTCTCTATGCAGTGACAGGAAAGATGGCCTAGATTAGGCTGAAAATGCAGAATATATCTTGAGGAAGCAGTTAAAAATCTACATTATGATAATTGTTATTTAACTAAAGCACATGCAGTTTTCTTTCAAAGCTGTCATTTAGCTTTTAAAAGCACTGTGTCTAAAAGTGAAAACACTGTAGCCCACTAAATATTTTTTAATTGGCAGCTCATTTTCCATAAAGCACCAAAATATTAAAAAGCAAGCATCCAGTCATGCTATTTGCCACTGCATTGTACCATGTTTTATATACCTTTCATTGATTTCCTCAAACGACTTAGGGAGAAAGAGAGAGGAAGGAGGAGGAGGAGGAGAAGAGAGAAAGAGAGAAAGAGAGAAAGAGAGAGAGAGAGAGAGAGAGAGAGAGAAGCTAATTAACAACAGAAAGAAAAAACAACCAGGAGCATTAAGATTACCCACTTTTGAAAATCATAACCCCTCAGCTTCCCTGAGGTTGTTTTTCTCCCAGCCTGGGCAGCAAGGACATAAGTGCTCAGAAGGCAGGGTGCGGGGGAGGGGGAGCGGGTGGGATGGGCAGTGTCAGGACAGGGATGGAGGGTGGTTCATTTGTAGTTGGCTCTGTCTCTGCGATCAGCGGGACTGGCAATGAGTTGCTTATGCTCTGCTTCTCTCTATTCATCAACCAGTGGCTTAGCTTCCAGAACAGAATTCTCTAAAGCAGGAAAAATGACTTAAATGTATTCAATGAGGGATAGATATCAAAAATGTAATCAGTATTTATCTGAGTGATATTTTCTGTGTGCTTTTCTATATTTTCGAATTTTAAAAAATGAATAATATTACTTATATAAGTAGGAAAAATGCCATCTGTTTTTTTTTATTTACAGTTTGCTCTTCTAGAGAGAAGTAAATTATTCTTATTCTTATTGAACAAAGATAAGGTTCTCAGGGAAAAAAAGCACTTAATTAACGTTATGCTTCACAAGCAGTGCCCAATTTATGAATAAGAAGCTTTGCCTTAATTACACACAAAACAATGTAATGAGTTAAGTTCTCTTTGAGAATGGCCATGTCCACTTCACCCAAATTTGCCTTGTCAAGAGCTGTCCCCAGAGGCAAATCAAAAGGCTAACATTGTCCTATTTTGCTTTGCTGTATCTCCAAACTTTTCAAAAGGGTGGGAGGATGGGGAATTTTGAAAGGGAGATTTCCAGTCATCCTAAGAGCCGTGCTTCCCGCTGTGTGACAATTAGGCTTGGAACTGCCTTCAGGGGAAACATCTCCACTATTTCTGCTTAATCCTGGCTTCATGGAGAACCAGCGTCTCACTGAATATTCTAGGGAACTGCAGGGAGCACAGAGGTGTCTCTGCTGGTGCAATTTGAGGAGCACCCAAGGGAATTTCCATGTCTACAAGTTACCTGCTTGAATTAAGAAATCCTGTCCCCAAGAAACCCCTTGTAAAAACACCAACATATTTATTACCTGAGAGGGGTATCCCATTATGTCATCCTTTTGCACACCCAAATGTTACTCCCAGCCCCTTGGCCAGGTCAGAGGGGGAACAGTCCATATGAGTGGTCACTTCAGCCTGGGGAGTGAAGGGGACAGCCGCAGGAGCCAGCTGGCCCTCAGAGGGAAAGCATGGCAGGGACAAGGCTGCTTTCCCTCCCTCTTAGACAGTGACCAATCAATCCAGTGGGACGCAATGGAATGATGATGCTGCAGGCTGTCTCCATGTATCTTTCAGCTGGATCTGGGCATTGAGGCTTTCAGGGTTTGCTGGGCCTTTTCTATAGGCATCAGGCATGCCCAAATAATGCTTAAATGCCAGAATTATATAAATCCCACACAGAGATATAAATAATCTTAAGGAATAGTGAAAAATGAAGCTTTAAAAGTAGATGTGCCAGAGTGGGCGCAAGGTGTTTGAGCCCATTTTACTTGGCACTTACAGTCAGGAAGACAGCCTCGTCAAGCTCCTCTGCTTCTCTCACGATGGTCTCCAGGGTGTCCTTGGCAGTGTCCATGCTCTGCAGAAAGTGGACCATCTGCTCATGCAGGAACTCCATCTTCTTCTTCTTCACTTCCTCAAAGCTCTGGGCTTTCTCATCATACTGTGCTAAAACCTTCTTCATCATTTCCTCATTCTGTTCTTCTAGCCTTTTCTCATTTTTACTACAGTTTTCCTGAAAACAAACATGCAAAAAAGCCCATTTCTGAATGAAACAAGAAATGCATGCTTTTTTTTTTTTTTTTTTTTGGAAACACCAGCCTTTTAAAGAATTGACCTCTGGCATCCTGATCAGAGAATCAGACATTACATGCACAGTTCAAATTTTTAACCTACCAATCCCTTTCACACAATTAGCTTTGCAATAAAGCAATAGAATTTACTATAACAGTATCATCAAGAAAGTTTTAGTTACCATAATACAAACTATATATATATTTGTATGGAAGTCTTGCCCACCTGTACTCACACATGATGAAACTTGAAAATGGCATCACGGTAAGTGAGGATCCCTGGCCTTCAGGTGGTAGAGAAGCATCACTCCACTAAAATCACAGTGCAAGGCAGAAAGCAGCCCAGATATGGAACGGGGACCACCTCCCCAAATGTTCTCCAGTGAGATGGCAGATTATCCCATAGTGGGAGAAACTTTGTTGCCTGTCCAGACACACCCAGATGCCTGGCTATCCTCACTAGTGTGGCTAGTAAGATGAACCCAAAATTTACTCTCTAAAAAGGACACCTGGAGACGGGGACACAAGAAACAACTAGCACGTACTAGTTGATCTATAACATGAATTAAGCAGACCTCTCACAAGCAAACCAGGACGTGGAGTGGCCCCAGGAGTAATGGAACTGTGCAGGAGCCTCTGCAGTGGCCTCAGGCCCTCTGCCAGTCCTGATTGACTGGTGAGGGTGCCTGGGCCATCTCTGTATAAGGATGGAGCATTCCTAGTCCCTCTCTTCCCTGAAGAAGGGACAGGAGCCAGCAGCTAAGGGATCATGAACTCATCAGAGATAGTCGTGCTATGAGAGGCACTCATTGGCCCTGGGCATGGGACACTGGACAGTGACTCAGAGCATTTCTACAGAGTTAACCCAATGAGAGGCATGAAAACGAGGAATGTACTCTAAGACTTGGTTTCTTATCTATAAAATTGAAACAATAATAATAACACCTATCTCATATAATTGTGAGGATTTGGTCAGGTAAAGCATGTAAAGCATTTGCCCTATTTAAGTGTCTAATAAACGCATGTCTGTTGTTAAGGGCAAATCTTTTATCCATAGGCAGAAAGGAGTCTCACTGATTATGCACAGAGAGATTTTAAGTATCCTCGCTTTGAATGGAACTGAACCAACAATGGCAAACAACACATATGCACAAAATCCCCAAGTCAGATCCCTTCACCTCAGAATCATTTACTTCTGATACTGTGAACAAGCCGGGTTAAGGTAAAATGGGTGTGTTAACTTACCTCAATGGTATTAAAAAAGGATTCTATCTCACTAACAAAGGCTTCAATCCTCAAGGATTTTTCTTGTAAATTTTCTAGAAATTCTGCTAATTGAACCTGAAGAAAAGAATTAAGATATCCTTAGTATATGACATTTAGGAAAAGAACTTCAACCAGTGAGCTCCAAATTCCTTATAAATTTACTATGTTTGGTAGAGACTTACTATACTATATCCACTAACAAGTCAATCCTTAAATTTTCTTTACTGCCTCATCTGACTATAGATAATTCTGTATGATAAACAATGAGGAGGTTTTGAGTGAAAACCTCAAAACAACTACACAAAGACAGTATATCTTCTTAAGTGAACAAAGGACTTTCTTGGTAAATTGATGAGCTCAAAACATACTTGTTTTAATGAACTATGGGTTTGAATGCGTTCTCTCTAGTAAGGCCTTGGTTTTTGTATGTTCTGAGAGAAGAGTCGTTTTGCTAAACTGGTCCAATATACCCGAGTAGTTTCTTCACATGTACACCAATGGCCTGAGAAGGTGATCAGAGTGCCACAAGGCCTGAAATCTAGCATACCAACTGATAGAAACTGTCTACTACAGGGACCTAAAAGCGATAATGACCCTCAAAGGGTTAAAATACTCAAGGGGTAATAGCCAACTGGAAAATGTATGGGGTGATAGGAGAGCATGGTACTCACTTTAGCGATAGTTATAAACCTAGCAACAGTCAATCTTGCTAAATTTAAAAAATAACAAAGCAGAAAAAATAGCAGAGCTTCAGCTGTCTGATTCACTACCACAGACTGATGGAGATACAACATTGATGGAGGGCTCTTCAGGATCTGGTCTCTACTTCCCTCTATGGCCCTTACCTCTTCTCCACAGCCCCCAGGCTCCAGTCACACAAGCTGAATTTTGTCCTTGCACTCTTTCTCATCTGTGCACCTTCATATGGTATTCCCTGGCTCTAGAATGTTGTCCCTGCTCTTGACTGCTAGAAGAACTCTATCTCATTTAAAGCTCACCCAAGCTTCACCTTTTAGACACCTTTGCTCACATTCCCCTTCCTACCCCACCATTTCCTTCCCAAAAGGTTAGTTTCTCAGAACATTATGCTTTCACAACGTTATATTGATTTTGGGAATCTACAAGTCCATCTTCCTTTTTTCTTTTTTTTTTTTTTTTTTTTCATTCTCAATGATTAGCACAGTTCCTGACACAGAAGAGGAGATAAATTAACAGTGAGAATGCAGGAAGAGAGTGAGTGAATGAAGAAAATAAATAACAGACAAAAGATAAGCACATGATGGGGATGGACTCCGGAGGGGACACAAGGACTTGGGTGATCTGTAACTGCAGCCATCAGCTCCTGGAACAGGCACAAATGCCTGCCCTTAAGATGCTAGAAAATTTTCAAGCTACAATTTTTTTAATTGATTTTTATTTTTAAAAAGTTGCCAACTGGCCAGCTGCAGTGGCTACTGCCTGGAATCTCAGCACTTTGGGAGGCCTAGGTGGGAAGATTGCTGGTAGCCAGGACTTCGAGACCGACTGGGCAACATAGTGAGACCTTGTCTCCACTAAAAATTTTAAAAGTAGCTGGATGTGGTGGCATGTGTTTGTAGTACCAGCTACTCAGGAGGCTGAGGCGAGAGGATTGCTTGAGCCCAGGAGGCTTCAGTGAGCTATGATGATCACACTGTTGCACTCCAGCCTGGGCAATAGAGTAAGACCCTGGCAAAGAAGAAAAGAAAAAAGGAAGAAGAGGAGGAGCAGGAGGAGGAGGAGGAAAAGGAAGAGGAGGAGGAAGAAGGGGAGGAGGAGGAAGAGGAAGAACAAGAGGAGGAGGGGAGGGAGAAGAGGAGGGAGGAGGAGGAGGAAGGAGGAGGAGGAATTGCCAACCAACCAACTCTTACTAATCTTCATGGCTGACTTAATGAAATGAAGGCAGCTCCTTGGCTTTAGTCAACTGGGTTCCCACTTTCTCCTTCTCATACTGTTTACAGAAGATCAAGAATTAAAAAAAAAAAACTTTAAAAATGATTTTAAGGCAGGAGATGTTGTATCTCTCTACTTACAAAATTTGTTTTAAATTGATCATACTTAGATGATTACTTTTTAATATCTAAAACTCATAGAGCTAAATAAAACATATTAAGAAGGCCAAAAAAATTCAGTCTTCTTTCTGCTGGCAATGCTCAGTAGTTGTGGGTTAAAACAAAGTGTCACCACAGAACGGGGCCCACTTCCACTGGGGCTTATGCATCTGATGTCTGAGATTTCACAAAAGAAGTTGCCCTACTCCCTAATCCCAAACTTTAACAAGTAAAATTTCAACAAATTTCTACCCTGGAGAACTAGAACCAATATCAGGCAAGTTGAGGATTAATTTGGGTGTAAAAAAATGCCAAGATTCTAATATGTTATCCTATTGAATCAAAATGAGTCTGATAATTCTTTAACAAGGACCTAATTGAATGATCATACTGAAAATCACTACCATTAGCAAGGTACTGAGCCAAGCAGTATGCGTATACAGTCAAGAACATGAGCTCTGGCATCAGAAAGATCTGGGTACCAGCCCCAGTTCCACCTTCCATGACCTTGGGCAAATCATTAAACCTCTCTGAGACGATTTTATTATCTGCAAGTTGATGACAGTGATAGGGCTGTCAGAAAGATTAAAAGATATCCTGTATATAAAGAACTTAAGACTGGGCATGGTGACTCACACCTGTAATCCCAGCACTTTGGGAGGCCAATGCAGAAGGATTGCTTGAGCCCAGGAGTTCTAGATCAGCCTGGGCAGCATAGGGAGACCCTGTCTTTACAAAAAAATTTTCTTAATTAGCCCAGGGTGGCAGTGCATAACTATACTCCCAACTATTTGGAGGCTGAGGTGGAGGGATTACTTGAGCCTGGGAGGTTGAGGCTGCAGTGAACTGTGATTACGCCGCTGCACTCCAGCCTGGGTGACAGAGCGAGACCCTGTCTCTCAAAACCAAAAACAAAAACAAAAATAGTGCATGGCACAGAGTAAGTGCTCAATTGTTATTGTTATTTAGTAATTTTAGATAATTCCAGCTGCCCTATGGAGAATGGATTAAAGAGGTAAGAATGGTGAGACAAGTAAGAGGGCTATCGAAAGGTAGAGGAGAGTCTCAAAGACTACATTCCAACAGCATCTTGGGGAAGTGGAGTATTTATACTCACTTAAAGGAGGACATGTGTTGGGACTAACTTATCTAGAACATTGGGGTCCTACAGACATAGCCAGAAAGAATGCAAAAAAATTTCTGCTTCTAACATGAATTTTATAAATTAAAAGGAAATACAAAGAAAGTAAAAATTTAAACTGTCTTAATGTATTATTTATATATAACTTGCAATGAAATGTCTCAATGTAATGTAAATGTGTCTTTTTAAAGGATGATATTGTAGATAATAGGAAGGAAACTGTGTTTTTTGCAGTTTTTTGCTCAAAGGTAATTTCTAAAATTTCAAATTATTTGGCATTTTTGGTAATGTTAAGGGCTATTGCCACAAAGTACCAAGCTCCTCAAGGGCAGTGACCCTGTGTTGTCTATCGTGCTAGCCCCTAGGCCTGGAAAAATGTGTGGCACACAGTGTACACAGCTGTCTTCAGTATCTGCAGAGGACTGGTTTCAGGATGTCAGCAGATACCAAAATACACAGATGCTCAAGTCTCTGATAGAAAATGGCATAGTATTTTCATATAACCGGCGTACATCGTCTCCTATACTTTAAATCATCTGTAGATTACTTATAATGCGTGATACAGTATAAATGCTACATAAAGAGTTATACTGTACTGTTTTTTATTCGTATTATATTTATTGCTCTATTATTTTTATTTATTTTTATTTTATTTTTGAGACAGAGTCTCACTCTGTCACCCAGAGTGGAGTGCAGTGGTGCGATCTCAGCTCACTGTAGCCTTGACCTCCCAGGCTCAACTGATCCTCCCACCTCAGCCGCTCAGGTAACTTAAACTACAGGTGTGCGCCACCACGCCCAGCTAATTTTTGTATTTTTAGTAGAGACAAGGTCTCCCTATGTTGCCCAGGCTGGTCTCAAACTTCTGGGCTCAAGCAATCCTCCTACCTTGGTCTCTCAAAGTGCTGAGATGATAGGTGTGAGCCACCACACCCGGCCCCCTCTTACTGTTTTGTGCTTTTTTTTTTTTTCCTGGATATGTTTGATCTGCGGTTGGTTGATTCTAAGCACGCAGAACTCAAGGATAAGGAGGGTGGGCTGTACTTAATGAATGTCTGTCAAGCCTACCTTAATTAAATTCTTGGAGAAATATTCTTAGTTTGCTTTCAGACCATTCTGCTTAAAGATCAATGATCAAATATTAATCAACTTTAAAACTGAGAAAATGTAAAAGCAAATTAAATGTGTATACATATATTATTAATTATATGTGTTTTAACATCTATTCACCTTTACAGCACTTATAGCTGTGTCAAGCGTTGAAACCTCATGGTCTTTGTGGGTGCCAAACACCTTGTCAGTGGCAGAAATTGGACATTTGCAGGTGTAACAGTATGTGTCAATCTGGGACTTTTTCAGCTCTTTTTGTGCCTTTTCAGTTACTAACTCAGATGATAATTGGTTTTCTTCTTTCCACTCGCTGCCCAACTCTTTCTGTTCAGCAGATGTACTTTGCTCTGTCTCACTCACAAATTCATTTTCACTGATGTGCTCAAAGGATTCCTTTCCTTGAGATAAGACATCTTCAGGTCTGGATTCTGAAGACAGTTCTTCTGATAAAATGTCTTGAGGAAGCACTTCATAATGCAAGGATTCTGCAAATTCATACTCATCCTGAACAGGGCTATTACGGAGCCTCTCTTCACTTGGCTCAGGTGGGACCAGGATTTTAGGTTCTTCTAGTGGTGTTTCTTGAACATGAGTTGCACCAGATGCAAATTCTTCCTCCGGGAAGGACACTTGTACTGGGACATTCAGATTGACATCTGGACTTGCATTTTCGACTTCATTACCCTGACTGCCTGCTTCATCTGCATGCTCCAGAACATGATGGGTGTCTTCAAATGGAACTGCATAACTTATTTTTTGGGTAGCCACTCTGATGTCCTCTCTGATGGGAGCTTTCTTCTGCATTGCTATATTACCAAGAGTCTCCACATGGCCTACTGATTCTCCTTCCCCATAAACACCTTTCTGTTCTTCCAGACTCTTCTCCCTGCAAATAGTTCCAAACTTTCCCCAAATTTCCCCTTCTGCAGCTATCGGTTGGTATGAATCATCCCTACCAACTCGTTTTTCTTCCAGACCTTGGCCCTGGTCCTTTTGAGTTAGAGATGTGTCATGGAGAATGTCATCTTTGAGTATGTACTTCTCAAAATATATTCCTGTTCCATCATCAGTGTCAGAATTTCTGCTGGGAAATGATGCCTCAGAATTCACACTGTCACCTTCAGAAGCTGTCTCCTCTTCCTTATTTTTCTCTCCAACTGCTTCTTCATACAGATCCTTATATAAAAATGCAAGTGCAGGTGGCTCCTCCAGAAGTTCTGGATTAATGGCTTTAATAGTGGTAGGAAATATCTGGGTTCGTGACAAAACTCCTTCCTCTGCTTCAAATAAAGGCATCCCAAGTGACTTTGAGTCCACATCTCTCTTTACGTCCTTTGAAACATTTCTGTCAGCTGATTTTTGGATACCCAAAGACTTTTGGGTCTCCGGATGAGATAATATATCGTGGTCCTTTTCCGGTCCATAAAAACTTTCATCTAATTTCACCAAGTCATATTCATGTTCTAGTGCACTTTCCACTGAACTTCCTGGGAAAGAGGTCGCTTCTTCCGTAACTTCCTCTGAGAGTTTGTCTTCAACATTTAATTTCTGTGGAGCTTTCTGTTTTTCTGGGTCTGGGGAGATGTTATAATCAATCAAAGTATATTTTTCAAAATAATCCTCTTCACTGGGAATTGTGGACTGAATAAAAGATAAATCAGTTTCTGAATCTGTGGATGTCTTTTCTTCTGTATGACGAGTTTCCTTTTGTTTACTTTCTTTCAATGATGTAACTTTTTCATCAGAATCTTCTAACCTGCTCTTTAATGTTTTGTGACAAGCAACTGTTTCACTATCATCACGGAGTGGTACTGTTTTAAATGAGGCTTTCTCTTCCAAATATTCTAACTTATCTTGCATTTGTTCACTTTCTTCCTGATCGATTGAAGAAATAAAGGCAGGGGCATGAATATTCAATATCTCACAGCCTTCAGAAATGATACTAAAGGCAGTCTTCTGATCTTCTGAAAGTCCAGCTGGCTTACTAGTCACTGTAAAGTCTTCATCTTTTGCATATGTGTCTTCAGGCTCTTTGGACATTTCTTTATTAGAAACCATTTTATCAGCATTGCTTGCTGATGCACTATATATAAATTGAGCATAGTTGCTTTTTGCTGAAGACAGTGGTTCCTTTACATGGGTATCTTCCACAGCCTCCAAGTGGTGCTTTGAAACAAGAACAGATTGTTTAGGCACATCGAATGTGTCATCTTTAGATGTCTGAATAGTATGAACTGTATGCCTTTCTGGAGTCAATTCTGATTGTGGCATTTCTTGTTTCTTCATTGCATTAATTTCTGGAGAAGCTCCTGAAACTAGAGTTTGTGGTTTTACAGATGACAGCAAATATGGTGGTGTTTCTGAGCTCTTAGTTTCATCAAAAGGATAAGCTAAAGTTCTTTCGGATTCTTTAGTTGGAAATCCTTGTTTCATACTTTCTTTTGTGATAGCTACTGAACCACCTTTCAATAGCTCTGACTCTCTGAACTGTTCTTTTTCTTCCCTGTGATCTGGCATATCTCTGCTTGACTTTTCTAATACTAGATTTCCTTCCTGAGATAAAGAGTGGTTCTCTATTTCATCACGACAAGGAAGAGCCGCCGGCAGGAAAGTCTTGGTTTTCTCCACCAAAACTTTACTTTCTTCTAAAGGATGTGGTTGGGTTGCTACTGCCTTTGCTTCTCTGATTTCTGGGTGAGCGTCTGAGAGCACGGCATCTGATTTTTCAGTAACTGATGTAGCTTTAACTAATGAAAATGATTGAGTTTCACCCAAAGAATGACCTAAAGAGATATTTGATTCTTTAATCATAGACTCGGCTACATTCACAGAATAAGGCTGATGTTCCTGCTTCTTCTTTTCTTCCGAAAGCACATATACCTGATTTTCTTTTTCTTCACCTTTCTCCTTTTCAGAACCAACAATGATTTTGGGTCTTTCACTGTAGTCTTCATTTTGATAGAAGTGCTGTGGCATAGCATTGGCTTTTGATTCTTCCAGTTCAGTAGATCTAGATCCATGTGTAATTTGTGTCTTCCCTATTTCATTACTATCTCTAAGCTCTAATGGGGCCACGGAGTCTTGTTTTTCTGCCAGCACCTTCTTTTCTGCCAAGGTATATGATCTGTTTTCCAAATTATCTTTCGTCTCAGTTGGACTAACAGACCTGAGTTTTGTTTCTTCTTCAGAAATTTTCAAGGAAGTAGGATTTTGCATTTCTTTCTTTAGTCTGTCTTCACTGAGATCAACTAAACTGCCTTTTGATTCTTCTACTGGCAAAATAATTGACTCTGATTTCTCTGATTCCTTTGTGATATTTTTACTTGCAAAGTTGGAGGAAGCCGATTTTGGCTGTTGTGGCACCTTATCTACTACATCAAATGAAAGGAGTGATTTTTCTTTTTGATCACTTCTTGGCTCTTCCTTAAAAATAGAAATATTCCATTTAGATGGAGGAGCAATTGCTGGCTTCTGGACTCTTTTATTATCAGTAACATGAAGAGGAACAATAGTTTTGGCTTCTTCCATAATCAGTTTCTCACCGATTAGTGAATAAGGTTGAATTTCAAGATGTTTCTCACCATCAGCAGAAGTAACTACTGAGTTTATGTTCACTTCCTCTGAATTGTCTGAGATTTCTTTTTTTCCATAATCTTCCCTAGACACCTCAGAAATGGATTTTGGCTGTTGTAAATCTTCTACATTTGACAAAATTATGGATTTTTCTTTAACGTTTTGACCTTCACCAGATTTTACTAAAGTACCTCGGGATTCGTCAGCAGTTTTGAGTTTTACCTCTGATAATGAATGATCAGCTTGTTTCTCAGCTACATTAAAATTGGTGGGAATTGTACCTTCAGGTTCTATCACAGTCACTGCTTTTTCTACAGATGGGCTTGGCAGTGTTTCTAAGTCTTCTTGTTCAGCAACTTTCCTATCTGGAGTGCTTGATCCAAAAAACAAGCTGGACATCCATGATTTGAAAGATGAAATTCCTTTCTTTCCCTTTTCCTGAGGAAGGTCTGGCTTAGCCACTTTTGGCTGTGTAGGTGGCTTTTCTGTCACCTCAGGTGACTCTGGGGATTGAGGTTCTTTTGAGTGGAGTGAGGAGATGGGTTTTCTTTGTGTGGGTATTTTCACTTCAGGTGCTGGTTTCTTTTCCTCATCAGCATCATCAATAACCTTCAACTGAACCATTTTTGATTCTTCCAGTGGCTTCTCTCCAGAAAAAGGAGGTGTGCTCCTGTGTGCTTCTTTTTCATTGCCCAGTGCCGGTTCCACACCTTCTGCCAGGAAATGGGTTGTTTTGACAGAAGAGGGGATTGTTTCTGACTTCACCTGTTCCACTGATAGGCCAGACACTGGTTTCTGGAGGAATCTTTCAGGAGGTAGTTTAATTTTTTCCTGGCTATCTTCTTTGGAAGGCCAGGAAAACTCTGTGTTTGCTTTCTCCAATAGCAAACTTTCACTCTCCATCAAAGAATGACTCTCCTTCTTCTCTGCTATATTTCTCTCTACATTTCCAGCGAGGACAAAAGACTTTGGTTCTTCAGCCAGCTTTAGTTCTTCAGAAGAGTAACTTTTACATGATAAGGTCTCTACATTACCACTGGAAGTATCAAGAGCAGATACTGCTTCTTGTGATGACAAATGAGATTCTTCAGCAGAATGAGGCAAGACCTGCTTTCTCACTTCATATATATGGTCCATACTGGACACAGCAGCCTTGAGCTGCTCTGGCCTCAGCTCATTGCTGCCAGAGGAATCCAGCTGCACAGATCCTGCTATTCTCTCTTCGTGTTGACTAGCCACATTTTCTGGCTTTCCCAACATCCAGTTTTCATCCTTTGGAGAAATAAAGAATTCTTCCATTTTTGTTTCTTTGACATCTGCAGGCTTGGTTGTCATAAATGATTTTGATTGTTCCAAAGGCAAATTCTCTTTCATAAATGAAAACTGCTTAATATCCAGATCTTGTTTATCTGCAAAAGAGGTGCTTACATCAGGCAATTTAATAGTTTGATCTGAATGAAGTGCTTTTTCTGTCTTTTGTTCCACAAGGTCAGAAAGAGCAATCTTTGATGGTTCTGTTACACTCTGGAGTAGCTGAGATGAATCTGGGTGGCCTGTTTCTTCACTTAGCTTAGCTACAATATCTCCCATGACTTGTGCCTTCAAATTTCCAGTTGGTGGTAATGGGCCTATTTCTTGATTTCCTCCCTTTTTAAAGTCGGCTGGATGGCTAACCTCCTCTGATAATCCTTTTAAAGAAAAAGTAAATGGCTGAAATTCTTCTGGGTTGTCTCCTTCAGCTACAGAAGCAGGTGGTTCTTTCAACTCTAGGCTGACGATCTTGGGAGAGAAAGGTTTAATTTCTTCATTCTGAGATTCCTCCCTAAGCAATGATGAAAGCTCTGAAGTTGTAGGCATTGTAGCAGATGCATAAAGTTCTCTATTTTCTTCTTTTCCTTCTCTGCTCCTAAGCTCAGCTGGGCCTTTTTCTAAAACAGAATCCCCTGTTTCAGTTACGGGAGACTTTGCTTGTTTTGTACCGATGGATCCACTTTGTCTACCTAAACCACTAGCAAATTCTGACCCAGCATTTGGTAATTCCAACAGTTGGTGTGGCTTGTTTTTCTTCTCAGGTTCCAAAGACAGCTCTGCCAAAGCAATGTCTTGTTTTTCTGATGGGAAGTCTCCCTGGTCTGTAGAAGATACCTCCACTGCCTGTTTGTTCTTATCATCACTGAGGAGCAGTAATGTTGGAGCTAAACCTGATGCTGAATTTTCCAACTCAGGAGATGAACTTGCTATTTCCTCATCTTTGCCTTTTGGAATTATATGTTTGGATGCAGGTGACACATTTTGTGATGAAGGAAGTTCAGTTTCTTCCTTCTTTATCTCACCCCATAGGCTGAGTGAAAGCTCATGTTCAGGCCCTAACACCTCTGAGGTAGACACCAAGCTCTTTTTCTCTGATGAAACCAAATGCTCAGAGTCGCGAACTGTAGAACATGAAAGACCTTGTTTATCTTCTACCCTTGCTTCCTCAGATTCGTCTGAATATTGAGAAGATGATGTTTTGATTACTGGCAACCCAGCTTTAACTTCTTTGGCTTCAACTTCTGACAAAACAGAATGCTCTGCTATAGAGGAGACACTTGGAGGTGAATCAAATTTAATTTCCTTCTCTGCTTCTGACCAAGCTAAATGTTTGGATGAAGTTTCATTGGGAGAAGCACCTTTAATTGCCACCTTGTCTTCTTCTGCAAGAACTGAATGCTCATCTGTAGATGTTACCAGTGGTGGCAAACCACTTCCTAATTCACCCTTTCCTACTTTTGTTAAGACTGGATGACCTACAGGAGTGACAAGAGATGAATCTGTTGAGATTTCTTCTTTTACTACTTTGGTTAAGTTTGAATCAAGCTTAGTTACAGATGCTGTGGTTGTTGAGGAACTGGGTTCCATTTCTTTTTTAATTTCTTCTGACAAAGCTGAAAATGCTAGTGCATGTGGACCATGTTCAACTTGCTTTTCCACTCCTGAGGAAGCTGAATGAAGCACTGTAGGTGTAGTTGTTATTTTAGAATCATGTTTCATCTCCATTTTTGCTGCTGATAAAACCTCAGGTCCAGATAAAGATGTTTCCTTTAGAGGTGAACACGGTTTTATTACTTCAGGCTCTTTCTCAGACAACTTTCTCTGTTCTAGTTCAGAAGTCACATTTAGAACTAATTTGGGCTTGACACCCTTCTTTGGCTCACCTACCACATCAGGCAAAACTGAATATTTCATCTCAAACCCTGGAATATTTGGAGGCTGAGGCTCCATTTTTTGATCCTGTGATACATGTGCTGTAGCTTCTTGAGAATCAGCCACAATTTCTTCCTTTCCGACTTTTGACAAAGCCATCTGTTCATCTGCAGCTTTTAGAGTGAGTGCTGCTGTGGGTTCCTGTTCTTTCTTGATTGCAGGGACTGAATCAGGTAAAACCGAATGTGGAGATGCAGGTTTGGTTTCTTCCTTTACTATAGATGATTGTGCAAGTAAAGAAGCAGGTATTGCAGTTACTGATGAACTTGCCTCCCTTTCTCCCTTCTTCACTTCACTGGTTAAATGTGGAGGAATCAAGTCTTCAGACTCAGGCTCTAAATATGCTTGAGTTTTCTGCTTCTGTGCCAAAATTAGATATTCAGATACAGATGTTGAGGTTGTTGGAATATCTGGCTTAATTTCTGCTTTCTCTGATTTATCTGTTGAAGGCGGCAGACTCAAGTCTTCAAGTGGAGATATCAAAGGGAAAGTTTCAGATTTTTGCTTCTGTGATGAACTGAACTGCTCAGATACAGGTGTAGCAGCTGTAGATCCAATGTCTTCCTCATCTACTTCTGAAAAGCAGGAATACCCTGAAGCAGACACTGCAGTTAATAGTGAATCAGGCTCAAGTTCATTTTTCTCTGTTTCTGAGATTCTGAATGGAGGGATTGAAACTTGTGACGCTGAGTCTGGAGAGAACAGTTCCGCTTCTTCAGTGTCTTCATCTGACAAAATAGTGTGCTCAGATGGCGATGTTAAACATATTGGAGAATCGCACTCAAATTCTCTTTTCTCTGCTTCCTGGGTTGCATACGGTGGAAATGAGAATTCTGACGCAAATGCAGAATCTGGAGAAAAAGGTCCAATGTCTTCTTGATCTTCCTCTGATAAATTCGTGGGTGAGGATGCACCTTTTAGATTTAGAGATCTGTGGACAATTTCTTCCTCCTGTGCCTCCGGTGTTGCATATGGTGGTACTGAAAATTCAGAAGCAGACGTGGAAGAGGGTGTGTACCGCTCCAACTCGACTGTCTCTTCATCTGATAGAACCACATATTCAGATGGGGTGGCTGAAAGTGGTGGGGCCTGGCATTCAGAAGTCATCTCGGTTGTGTGTGGTGGGAAAGAGTGTTCAGATGCAATGACCGAATCTGGGGAAGATGGTCCAATGTCCTCCTTCCCTTCTACTGACAGAACTGTGTATTCAGATGCAATGACCGAATCTGGGGAAGCTGGTCCAATGTCCTCCTTCCCTTCTACTGACAGAACCGTGTGCTCAGAAATACCTTTCAGTTTGAATTGGGATGCCTCATCAATTATTTTCTTTTGAGGTTCCTGTGTTGCATTGAGTGGGGCTGCATATTTGGAGATCAACTTTGAATCTGGTGTGAAACATTCACTTCCTAGGTCCTCTCCTTCTGATGGGACCACGTGTTCTGATGTGGCAGTAGAAGGTAGTGGTGACTGGCATTCAGAAGTCTTCTCAGTTGTGGATGGTGAGAGAGAGGGCTCAGCAGCAGAGGTCACAGCTGGAGTAAACGATCCAGTGTCTTCCTTCTCTTCTGATGGAATCATGTGCTCAGAAACACCTTTCGATATTAACGGGGACTTATGGTCAATTACTTTCTTCAGTGACTCTTTTGTTGCCTGTGATAGAACTGAATATTCAGAAGCAGATGTGGAGTCTGGTGTATAACGCCCACTTTCTGAGGCCTCATCTCCTGATAGGACCATGTGTTCTGGTGTAACTGTTGAAAACAGCGGAGACTGACTCTCCAAAGTCATCTCAGTTGTGGATGGTGAGAGCGAGCGCTCAGACGCAGAGGCTGCAGCTGGGGAATAAGCCTCAAATTCCTCATTCTCTTCTTCTGACAAAACTGCATGTTCGGCTATAGCTTCTACATTGGATGGAGAAACTGGCTCACTTTCTCGCTTCTCTAGTTCATGGTTCAAATCCTGTGGTACTGAATACTCTGATACGAAAGCAGAATCAGTAGAAACAGATGCAATTTCCTCTCTTTCTTCCTCAGACAAAGCAGCATTTTCAGGAGTTGATGTTGCCAATAATGGTAGAATAAGCGCCTCTTCTTCGTGCTCCACTTCAGGGGACATATGTGGTGGGAAGGGCTTCTCGGAAACTAATGGGCTTTCTGGGTAATCAAGTTCTATGATCTCTTCTTCTACTAAATTAGAATCTTCAGGTTTAGGGGTAGCAGCTACAGGTAGGGAAGTGTCTATTTCTTCTTTCTCTGGTTCTTCTAACATTAGAGGTTCAGAAAGAGAAATGGATGGCTCAAGCACGTTTTCTTCCTTCTCTCCTTTGACACTGGGATGGGTAGGGGTCAGTTTTGCAGAGACTGGTTCTGCCCTTTCTAGTGAAGTCAGGTCTGGCTGTTCTTGATCTGGGTCCAAACCATCCTGGGTAGATGCTGCCAGATCTGGTAACGCTGCCTCCAGAGAAATGGAATGGTGAGCAGAACACACGTCTTCCTTCTTTACCTCATTAGTAAATGATGGTGAGACTGAAGAGTCATTCTCTGAAGCTGCAGTTCCTGGTGAAGCAAGCTCACATTCTTCCTTTGCTGTTCTCAGGAACACAGTTGCAGGTGTGCCGGGTGTCACAGACGGAGGCTCCACTTCATGTGGTTTTGCTTCATCTTCTGGCTGTTGTGGCACTGACTGTGAATGCCTGAGCTGTATTCCTTGTTCTGCTCTGTCACTACTTGAATAAGAGGGAACTGTGTGCTCCAATGCAGATGTGGCATTTAGGGGAGAATCAGCACAAATTTTCTTTTGATCTTCGTGACTGAACATTGAGGTTAGGGATTCTGATCCTTTGGAGATTGAGCCTCTCCAGGGTGGAGCAACCTCTTTCACTTTATCCTCTATGCTTTGGGCTACTAATTGGCTTGTTTTGGACACTGTATTAGAATCACTATTGTCCAAATCTGGCTCTAGACTAATGGATGCATCTTTCCCTTTCCTATAATGTATTTCTTTAATTACATAACCCTTTGGTAATGTTCCATAAAATTGTAGAGGAATTAATTCTTCTTTAACTGAATTAAACATCTTAATTTTATATTGTACTGTTCCTATGTAGACTGGTCTTAACACTAATGGCTTGTGTTCTTTGTATATTGCCCCAGTGATCGGAGGTGTATTTGAAGGGGTCTTCTTTTTTCTTGCTTTATCATAAACACCAGTATATGACTTCTCTTTCTCCGTGGTTAGTATCTGGCTTGCTGAAGTTAAAAGACTGCCTTTTTTGTTTGTTGGAACATCTTGGGATTCAAATGAATTTCTTTTTTTGTTGCCTTTCCGGCGTAATGATGGTGAACCATGCTTTGACTTATGAGTCCTTTTCCGAACCTTTTTCACTTCATCCACAATAAAGGAAACATTTCCAGGAGGAGAATTCACAGTTGACCCTTCCCGACTACACACACCAGAAGTCTGACTTTCTTCTGAAGCCCAAGGAGTAGATCTACTTGAATTGGTTTCCCAGGTTATCCCACTATCTTCTCTTTGGACTGTCACCATGGAAAATGAGGGGTCAGATATGATACACTCCTGCTTGATCTTTCTCTCTTCATCCTGGTCTGATAACCTGCAGCAAATAATAATATTAATTATATATTATTATAATAAAATAATATCAATTAATTAATAGAATAAGTAAATATATTTTTACCAGGTAAAGGATTAATGTGAAATTAAAATATAGACATCAATATTGCCATCCATGTCAAAAAGAGGGATGTATATCAAATAAAGTTTAAAAACCAAAGTCAGGATACCCAATACAATGACACATCCCAGACTGGAATGACTCACTATTCCACAAACTCAAAAAAGCTAAAGTTAAACATACCACCTTCTCTCATCAGGATTGCCTTCCTGATCTCCTCGGGACGCAGCAGTCACTCAAGCCCACTCTAGTCACTGGGATCTTCATAATAACTCTTGTATCTGTGCTCTCTCCATTACCACGATCACCAACTTACCCAGATTTTCACCACTTCCCTCCTAGTCACTGCCATTAACTTCCTAACTGGTCAGCTGGTATCACAGGTACCTCATTTCCCCTCACTCTCAACCCATTGTGCCCCATCCTCCCAGACTGGCTTTACTAAACAGCTCAGTATGCCACCCCCTGCTTTAAATTCTCAGCAAATTCTTCATACCCACAGAAAAAAAAAAAAAGAAAAGATTTTCAAAATCCTTAGCTCTCTGATCCCTATCTGATATTCTTTCCAAGTATCTACCTGCACCCTATCCCTACAGGTAAATTCCTGTTTTGACAATAATTCACTGTTTGGCAAACAGATCTTGGGAACTCTGAGTCATGATAAAGAGAAAACAGGTCATTGAATAGAGAGAGGTCACAAAAAATATCAGCCTACTGTGCTTCACTTTCCTCATCTATAAAACAGGGATAATAATAGAACCTATCTCGTGAGCTTGTTGTGAAGATTAAATTAGTTAATTCACGCAAAATGCTTAGGGAACATTCCTGGCATGTAGTTAGTGCTCACTCAATAAACGTTATCTGTAGTCAGGCCTTCCTGATGACAGATGATGAAAGGGGCCTGGGCATGGTCATTTTCAGCTGCTACAGGATACAGGAGTGTGGAAAGGCTGTGTCTGTGAACTGGTCTCACATCCCTTCAGAGACGGCTGGCTTTGGCCGCCCCTTCATTTGCTATTGGGCCCCCATCTTAGACTCTGCAGTGCTCTTCTCTGAAATTCTCTTCTACCTCTTCCTCACCTGTACTTACACCGTTCCTCCATTTAGAATGCAGAGCCCCGACCATACTCCACTTCTGCAACTGTAAATTCTACCTACTCCTCAAGGCTGGGTTTAAATTCCTCTGCTGTTATCATTCCTGACCAATGCAGAAGCCACGTTTGCCATCACTTTATAAACATATTTCCTCCTACGAGTATGCGAGATGAATCCCAACTACTGACTGGCTTACATCTATCTACAACAATAAAAACAAAAAACCCTCTGTTAAAACCACTAAACGTTAAGTGTTAAACTAAGGCAATTGAAAAAAAATCTACAGTAAGATTTATGTCCCTTAGTAAACTGTTTTTATCATCAGTCTCTGCATATATCAGAGGTTCTTAACTCTGAAACATAAAATAACCTGTGGAAAGTCTTTTAAAAATACTAATACTGCCCCATACCCTTCTCCACAGAGATTCTGATTTAATTGTACAAGGGTCTGGTCTGCACATTGCTATGTTTTTAGATTTTAAAAGCTGCCAGGTGACTACAATATGTATTCAGAATCACTGGCCTGGTCAGGCACAGTGGCTCACACCTGTAATCCCAGCACGTTGGGAGGCCGAGACAGGCAGATCACCTGAGGTCAGGAGTTTGAGACCAGCCTGGCTAACATTGTAAAACCCCATCTCTACTAAAAATACAAAAATTAGCTGGGTGTGATGGTGGGCACCTGTAATTCCAGCTACTTGGGAGGCTGAGGCAGGAGAATCGCTTGAACCCAGGAGGCGGAGGTTGCAGTGAGCCGAGATCATGCCACTGCACTCCAGCCTGGGTGACAAGAGTGAAACTCTGTCTCAAAAAAGAAAAAAAAAAAAAAATCACTGGCCTAAACAATCCTAGCTCTGACACTTAAATAGCACATATCTTTCTTTCTTACTGTAAACCCTTCCTGGTTTGTTAGGTTGGGTGGGGACCAGGACCATAAGTCCTTGCAGGTGCACTCAACTTCCCTTATTAAGCTTCAGAGTTTCCCCAGCAGTCTACTGTAAAGGGGTTATGGCTGTCCTGAGATCCTGGTCTCCTTAGTTCTCAGCACTGCCTGGGGCAGCCAGACCCCTTGAGCCACTAGCCTGGAACAGCAAGCAGCCAGATTCATTCATCCTAGTGTGCTATAAATTATATCATTTTCTATACATGCCATGAGTGAAGGGTCAGGAAGAAGTATTCTCTCCATTTCGCCACAACTCTGCTCTCACTCATTTGCTTGGGTATTAAACTGCTGAACTTAATTAGGAATTAATACTCTATCTTGGTCCTGAACGGAATCTTATTTTAAATTGTTTTTTTCAGGCTCCTTTACATACCTAATTAAAGCTATTCCACAAAATTTTCAACTCATCCTACATCTTCTCTCTTCCATGTCACTTAGAAATAGGATGAAATTAAAAATTAAGGTTATGACATGCATCTGGGAAGTCAGCATTTTGAATGCCCATGAATGTAGAAGCATTATAAAATTCAATTATAAGTTCAATTTAGAGTTAACTATTGATTGTAAATTCTATGTGCCCAACCAGAAAAGTTTTCATTACCAGCTAGAATGAATTCACGAGTGCTCAGGAGAGAACACACATGGTGGTCACAAGACAGGAGAGCCCTGCTGAGGAGGATTCACTCACTCAATTGTTGCTTATTCATTTTCATTCATTCATGTATTTCTTTACTTAATAAAATTTCATTGAGTTCAAATACTAGCAGTACAAATACAAAGCCACAGAACCTTCTTCTAAGAAATTCAAAATCTAATATGGAGAGACAACTAAACATTCTTTTTTAAATTCCAGTTTTTCAAATTTATTTATTATTTTATTTTATGAGACAGAGTCTTGCTCTGTCACCTAGGCTGGAGTGCAGGGGCGCAGTCTTGGCTCATTGCAACCTCTGCCTCCTGGGTTCAAGTGATTTCCCTATCTCAGCCTTGGAAGTAGCTGGGATTACAGGTGCGTGTCATAACGCCCGGCTAATTTTTTTGTATTTTTAGTAGAGATGGGATTTCACCATGTTGGCAAGGCTGATCTCGAACTTCCGGCCTCAAGTGATCTGCCCACCTCAGCCTTCCAAAGTGCTGAGATTACAGGCATGAGCCACTGCACCCTGCCTCCATTTTTATTTTAGATTCAGGGGGACTATGTGCAGGTTTGTTACATGGGAATATTGTGTGATGCTGAGTTTGGGGCTTCTATTAATCCCATCACCCAAATAGTGAACATAGTACCCAATGTGTTTTTTAGATCTTATCCCTCACTCCTCCCCACTTTTATAGTCCCCAGTGTCTACTGTGTCCATCTTTATGTCCATGTGTACCCAAGATTTAGCTCCCAATTATAAGTGAGAACATGTGATATTTAGTTTTCTGTTTCTGCGTTCATTTGCTTAGGATGATGGTCTTCAGCTGCATTCATGTTGCTGCAAAGGACATGATTTCATTCTTATTTATGGCTGCATAGTATTCCATGGAGTATATGTATCATATTTTCTTTATCCAACCCACCGTTGATGGGCACCTAGGTTGATTCCATGTCTTTGCTATTGTGAATAGTGCTGCGATGAACATGAGTGCACATGTCTTTTTGGTAGAATGATTTATTTTCCTTTGGGTCTATACCCAGCAATGGAATTACTGAGTAGAATGTTAAGAACATTTTAATACAGTGTGGTAAGTACTATTACAGAAGATAGGCAAGATACAATTAGAACATAAAGAAGGGAAAACTTCAGAGGAAAAATACTTGAGTTGGTTTGTAGAAGAAGAAATAGGAGTTTGCTAACTGAACAAAGATAAGAGACGGTGTAAGGATGGGGAGGTCATTCCAAGAAAAGGTTATAGGATATACAAAATGTAGCATGAATAAACAGTCTGGTTCACTGAGAGACCCAAAGTTGAATGACAGAGCCAACGGAACTAGAGAATGACTGTACAGTATTAGCATGTGTAAAGCCATGGCAGTATTACACTCAGTCTAAAGAAACAATGTATTAACAGAAGAGAAATGGTCACCATACCATTCAGTGTTCCCATCTATGTACATATCAGCTTTTCATAGTTAAAAGATATTGGCTATGAAAATAATCTCATCAGCTGGGTGCAGTGGCTCATGCCTGTAATCCCAGCACTTTGGGAGGCCAAGGCAGGCGGATCACCTGAGGTAGGGAATTCAAGACCAGCCTGACCAACATGGAGAAACCCCATCTCTACTAAAAATGCAAAATTAGCCAGGCGTGGTGGTGCATGCCTGTAATCCCAGCTACTAAGGAGGCTGAGGCAGGAGAATCACTTGAACCTGGGAGGCAGAGGTTGTGGTGAGCCGAGATTGCACCAATGCACTCCAGCTGGGGCAACAAGAGCGAAACTCCACCTAAAAAAAAAAAAAGAAAATCATCTCATCCGTTCCCCTCCGACTGCATTCTCACCAAGCAACCTTCTGATTATCAGTTAGCATCCCACATAGATTTATCTATACAAGTGTAGTGAGACAAATAATGACTTGGAAAGCTCACTTCCTCCACACTTTCAGCACTGGGCAAGGAGAAGGTTCAGCTGATCTGAGTTAGATCAAGCAAACAGACTGATACCAGAGATGTCAAAGGCTCCCGTTTCATTTGGAGAATAACCCTCATCTGACGAAGGAAGTTTCCTTCTGTTCCTATTCGCTCAGGCAGTTTTTTAAAATGATGAACGTTAAGTTTTATTAAACAATTTTTTTGGGTGGGGGATGGAGTTTCGCTCTTCTTGCCCAGGCTGGAGTGCAATGGTGTGATCTTGGCTCACGGCAACCTCTGCCTCCCGGGTTCAAGCAGTTCTCCTGCGTCAG